ATAGGCCAGGCCAGGGGTTCCCAGCCTGTGGGCCGCAGATCCCTGGGGGTCCACGATGGTACTGCAGGAGGTCCGGAGGATGAGGCCTACCACGGCGGGCCCGATCCTTTCTTTTTCTCTTTTTCTCGCTCTTTTGTTGTTTCTCCCACTCTCTTTTCTCTCTCTCCTTTTTCTTTTCTTTCTTTCTTTCTTTCTTTCTTTCTTTCTTTCTTTCCCCCACTTTTTTCTCTCTTCTTTTTCTCTTTTCTCCCTCATCCTTTTTTCTTTCTTTTCTTGCTCTCTCTCTCCTTTTTTCTTTCTTTTTCCCTCTTTTCTGTCTCTCTTTCTTTCTTCTCTCTCTTTTTCTTTTATCTTTTTTCTCTCTCTCTTTTCCCCCTTTTCTTTTCTCTCTCTTCTTTCTCTCATCTTTTCTCTCTTCTTTCTTTTCTTTTTTCCCCTCTCTTCTTTTCTCTGTTCTCTCTCTCTCTCTCTCTTTTCTTTTCTCCCTCTCCTTTCTCTCTTCTTTCTTTTCCCTTCTTTTGTCTCTTTTCTTCTTTTTTTCCCCCGTCTCTTTTCTCTCTCTCCTTTCTCTCTTGTTTTTTCTCTATTTTTTTCTTTTCCCCTTTTGTTTCTCTTTTTTCCTCTTCTTTCTTTTCTCTTTTTTTCTCTCCCTCTCCTTTTCTCTCTGTTCTTTTTCTCTTTTTTCTTTTTTCTCCTTTTCTATGTCTCTCTTGTTTCCTCTTTTTTTCTCTTCTTTCTTATCTCTTTTTTTCTCTCCCTCTCCTTTTCTCTCTGTTCTTTTTCTCTTTTTTCTCTTTTTTTCTCTTCTTTCTTTTCTCTTTTTTCTCTCCCTCTCCTTTTCTCTCTGTTCTTTTCTTTTTTCTCCTTTTCTATGTCTCTCTTGCTTTCTGTCCCTTTCCTTTCTCTTTTCTCTCCTTTTCCTTTTTTGTCTCCCACAGGGAGGGGATGTGTGGGCCCACAAAATGTCAATAGATTGAAAAGGGGGCCGTATGCTCAATACACCCCCTATCTGAGAGCCGCATGGCCGGTAGCATTGGTAGGTAGGGGATTCTGTCCTCAGAACAGATCGGGCCGTGTTTCTCCGGGGCGGGAGAGCAGACAACTCACCATGCCGGGGCCCAGGGGACAGTGCGGGGCTCCCAAGGCCAGCAGGAGGTGGGGATGGGGTGTCCCTAACACTGTCCCCCCTACAGGTACGTGTTCATCGTCCAGAAGGGCTACCAGGAGCGCGAGACGGGCCCCGAGAGCTCGGTCGTCACCAAGGTC